TTTTGAACTTTTGATTCTTGTAGATTTTGTAGTTTGGTGTTGTGCTTGTGTATATATATATGTCAGTGCTGGTATATATGTGTGTATATATATGTCTGTATTAATCCAAAAGTTGCATAAATTTCAAGACTCAGTTAAATTTGATGATTATTATTATTTATTTATTTTTAATAAGGCAAATAAGCTAAACAAAATACAAACACTCAAAAAAAAAAAAAAAAAAAAAAAAAAAAATGGTTGTTGAAAATTGGTAGTTGAGAATGGTAGTTGAAAAATAATGATAGTTGTGTCAAAAAATTGCATTTTGTATGAAATGCACCATTGGAGTAGAATTGCTAAAATATAGCATTTTGACACTGTAGTTCCTCTCAAAATATAAATTTGGCATGCAAAAATGGCATTTTGCATTGGAGATGGTCTTAACGTGAATCAAACTGAAAAGATACGACAGCTAATTAAGGAGCTAATATATTTCTGTTAGGTTTATATTGAAATGACCTAATTGTCCATAATTAAATGGGTATAAACGAGTTACACGATTTGAACTCTTCAAGCCTAGCACGACATGATTTATTATTTAGATTATCGTGTTGACCCATTTATGACCCGAATCTGATTAAAGTCAACCCAAACTTACTTATCTTATTCACGTTATGTTGGCGGGTCGTGTTGAATTTTATCACCCCTATTTATGGTCATTTAAGGTGATTTGCAAAGGAAATTGCTTGTTGCCCCTTCAAAATGTACTGAACTTTTTTTGTTCCTTCTTAAAATTAGAAGAAGTCTTGATGACTAGTTGTATTTATTTGATAATTAATACAATACACAAATCATAAATAATTTATTAATATTTATATATAAATAAATCTGTATTGACCAATAAAAGAGCAATAGTATTTATTTGATAATAACTATAATATACAAAACATAATTAATCCATTAAGTATTGACCAATAGAAGAACAATTATATTTATTTGATAATACAATACACAAAACATAAATTAATAATTCATTAAGACATATGTATGTATGTATATATATATATATATATAAACCTTGTATTGACCAATATAAGAACAATTCTATTTATTTGGGTATTAATATAATACACAAGCTATAATTAATCCGTTAAAAGAAATATATAACTAATATAATGAAATATGAGAGCTATTCTCTTATTGGACACTTAACAACTGCTTTAAATGTTTTATGGTTGATCTGCCCCTAATGCTTAAAAAAGAGATATATAACTATTATAATGGATATATAACAATTAGGAAATATATATATATTGTTCAAAACATACATTAAAAATGGATTGAATGGACTTCTTTACAACTATTTTATTTTACTTTTGAAAGTTAATTTTAGAATACTAATATTTTGGCCCGCAAATAAAAATATTGCTCATTCTCCACTTTGCTGATTATACCACCAACCTCATCCTTGCAGTTAGAAAGGGACACGTGGCAGTGTAATAGGATGGTTCCACGTGATCAAATCTGGACCATCCAGGTTGGGACCAAAGTGGGTGTTAACAATTCCCATATTTTCTACTTATTAAGCGAGTTATGAAAATATGTCTATATTCCTATTAAAAGTGTAAGTCGTTTTTATTTTAAATACATATTTTTACACTTTTTTATATACTTCTTTATTAATTATAATTTTTATTTATAATAATTAGTATGTAAATAAGCTAATAAATGTCATTATAATAAATCTATCAAGTCATTATAACAAACAACGGTTCAAGTTATCTCTAAATTATTTATAATTCTAAATTTGGAGAGGCCTCCCTAAGTGACCTTTCAAGACCATATATTTTTTATATACATTTTCATACTATTTTTTAATACTTCTTTATTAATTATGGTATAAGAAGCCTCCTTAAGTGACCTTTCAAGACCATTTATTTTTATATACATTTTCATACTATTTTTCTATATGCTTCTTTATTCATCATAATTTTTATTTATAATTATTAGTATATAAATAAGTCAATAAATATCATTAGTATACCAACCGACAACAAGACAATTATTCAAGTTATCTCTAAATTAATACTCCATTAGTCTCATATTAATAGTCTATCTTTTCATTTTTAATTGTCCTTGTCGTATTTCAAAAATCAATGTATTATTATTTTCTAACCTTCCCAATTTATCTTTATTGCATTGAAAGGATACAAATAAAAAATAACATCATTGTGGACCTCACCAATTCAAGAAAGAGGGTAAATTTTAAAATTCATGCATGCCGAGCAATAAAAAATTATTAAAAGTTAATCTCTTAAAAAATTAGAATTTTAAAAGTGAACATCTAAAATAGGACCGATGTGTATAATATGAAAATATTTTTAACAGTTGTTAACATTTTGAAATTTAGAAGGAACTAGATGAATGAGAAGAATATTATTATAGCAAATAACCCATCAATTTATTATTTGACATTGTCCTAAGCCGAATATAAGAGGTCCAATTATCCCTTAGGGCAAAGTATTAATAACCAAAATAACTTTTTGAAAATATTTTTAACAATTGTTCCTCGTGACATGCATTGTATGTTTAAGCAAAGCTCAAATGTGCGAGTGTTTGGCGTGCCCAAGATACTATTGAGAAAGAATTACAAAAATAGCAATGACAAAAGAAAAGGTTAATCTAAACTCAAGAGAGATTGAATCTTGAAAGTAAGAAAGTAAAGGTTAATCTAACCTAAGAGAGATTGAACTCTCGACTTTCTACTTCAAAAAGTAAGAAAGTATCACAAGGTTATATTTGTCATGACTAGGGATGACAACAAGGGCAGTTTTGGGCGGGTGAATCCTCCTCCGACCCCACAACCCTTTAGAAACCCTCGCCCCGTCCCCACCCAAAACCGCTTAAACGGGGGACCTTTCCACCACATCCTTGCCCGTTTAACTTTTTAACCCCCGCAGGCACCTACCTCGTCCCATTTAGTTCCATAATTTCTCTTCATTTTTTTTGTTTTTTCCCTTCAATATAATGATATAACTATTAAAAAAATCATAAAAATTAGGCAATCAATAATTTAACATAAAATTCAAGAATATGAGCGTTCTTAGTTTGTAAGGCTCTACCGCTCACTATAAGGGTTGAGAAAGTGAGAGGGTTGTGAAAGTGAGTGAATTTGACTTAAGGTTTCTAGAGCTAACTATATATACTAATAAAATAAGAGTAATTTAGTAATTTACCTACCTAAATCGGACGCGGCGGGGTGACTTCCCCAAACCCGCGTACTTTTTTATTAATAAAAATCATTCCTGCCCAAATAAAGTAAATGATTCTCCAAAATCACTATAAACAGGGCGAGGTGGGGCGGATACCCATCCCCACGGGGCAAATTGCCCTCCCTAATGGTGACTAAGTTGGATAAGAGTCTTCCAGTCTGTCTCCTAAATTCTCAATTCTGATTTCAAGAGTCCAGGCTTTTATAGTGATGGGATTAATCCCCCATCCAAAGGGAGTGGAGACATAAACACCCTTTTTAACCAAAGAAAGAGAAAAAATAAAATAAAATAAAAATAAAGGACTGAATTGTAGACAATGTTTATGAAAATAGAAAAAGAGTATTTTCATAAAATGGAAGTGATTGTAAACTGTCTCCACCAATAATCATGATGTTAAGTAGTTCTATGTGGCTCTCATTCTTTTTACCAAAAAGTTTCAATGGTCTGTCTCTTGATGATACCCAATGTGTTGAACAAAAGAACCATTTCATTATATTATAGAGTGCCAAAAAAATTAAGGTTTATTCACAGCATTTCTAGTTGGATTGTTTATTGTTGCCTAAAATAATTCAAAGTCACTCTGTGATGATGATGAGGCTGCTCTTTTTCAGTTGTGCTCTCTCAATGATTGAATCCATTAGGTCCACAGTTCAACCGGAAACTATCTATGATGGGGTGTGTGTGTGTATATATATCTACATATATATATTTATATATTTATAAATGATCAGTCTAATAAATAATTAACCTTTTCAGAATCTCCAAGTATAGGTACTTGTTTAAAAAAAACTGAAAACTAAGTAATGAAAATTTCAAAGTACAGAATTATAAGTGCTGAAATTTTAAGTGGTGGATGTATTAAGCTGAAAATATGTTTAATACTATCTTAATTTAAACGTTAAATTCATTTAAATTGTTTGTTAAATACAAAAATTCAAATCTGAATGTTGTTCATATTATAATTTTTGCTCTCAATATATTCTGCACATAATATTGTTATAAGAGAGGCTATATATATTAAACACATGTATGAAACAATGAATTTCACTAAAAGAAATATATCAATTTAGCAATGGATATTAATGTCAAAATTAATCACAAAAATACCAAAATCAAAGCACAAAATGTGTGTAAACATGGTAAGTAGGAAAGAATTCTATTATAGGAATAATTATGTTACCTCGATAGAATCTAATATCAATTCTTCTATTCTAGGAATAATTATGTTATCTCATGAAATCCAATATCAAATCAATTTTCAATTCAGTATTCTAATTCGAACTCAGTTTTAAATGAAAGAGTTTGGTTGTGGTTGGATTAAAAGTTTTATATTTAAGTTGACGAGTTTGGTTGCGGTTGGATTAAGAGTTATATTTAAGTTGAGCAAAATATACAAACCTTAATGAAATGAATGTAATAAGATGAAGTGAATGACTTCAGAAAATGATATATTTATGAAAAAGAGTTTTAAAAATCACACAAATCATTCCATTCTTATTTATAACCAATTGTTGTATTTATATTCAGCATGAGAAGAGAAGAGAAGAGCAAAACTCAACTTTTTAGATATTGTAGTAAGCATAATTGGAGTCACGTGGACCAACAACATATGGTCACGTCCTATTTATTTTTGTGTAATTATTGTGCTAGTCTAAAATCCATTTCTAATTCTGAATTTGAAATATGAATCTTTCATTCCCGGTACATCTAAAAATGTTATTTCACATTCGAGATGAAAAATAGGAGACATTGGAAATCTAACATTGCCCAATGTTATTAAATGCTCAATTGCAAAATTTAGTATTGCGTTGTCTGTTACAATAGCATAAGTTAGCCAAGATCGAACTTTTAAAATATTTGAATCCTCAAAAAAAAAAAAAAAAAAAAATGAGTACTTTCTGATCGAGCCGGAATACTTTTCTTCGGTGGGGTTTCACCTCACTCCACTTTCTTGCTCGATTTGGCATCTACATCTACATCTTCAGACGTAGTTTTGGACTCATCAAACTCTAACAACTGCACAAGACAACAGGAAAAAAAAAAAAATCAGGTCAAAATTTTCAACCAATTAAATACCAAAGAAGCAAGCAACAACTCCTGCCATCTGTGTATTAAAACAAATATTCAAAGTTCAATTTACACATGCATTTAATATAAAATCCACTTAGTTCGATAAAGGATAATTAACTTTATTTATTTATATTTTATTTTTAAAAAACCAACGATTTTAACCATTCCCGAAAACTCTGAATTATGGACATCATGGGGTCATGTTCAACACACTTACTTCCATGCGGCTGTCTTCGTTTGGTAATAGACAAACTAATATGTAATTTCTAGTCTGACTTTGCCGATCAGAGTACTTCCACATGTCATACGCCGACTGGGGGGATGCAACCACCTTTTCTCTATCGCCATTCAGAGAACTAGAGAGCCAATAAAAACCTAAAAGCTTTTCGAATACTATGCCCAAGGAAGGACCACTCAAGATATCTATAAACTGTACATGATAGTTTCAAAGCTTTACAGATTTCGACCGTTGTGCCAAGAAGAAAAAATCAAGACTTATGGTTAATGCGAGTACACCTAATAAACAAGAAATTAATAAATTATGAATAGGAAAGTGATATTTGCATTCTACTTGCACTCCACTTGATTTTTTAAATAAAAGAAATGACACATGAACCCTCAAAAGTGGAGTGCAATGCTTTGCTTAGTAGGAAGGAAGAAAGAAGGGAGGAAGCAAGAGAGGAAGGATAGAACATGTCTCCATTGTTTGTTACAGGGTGAAGTTGGAGAAACGGGATGGATGAATGGATGAGGCATCCTTCCTTGCCCACCATTTATCCGTCCAAAATTGGACGGACGAAAGGAGGGAGAGAAGGATAATTATAGCATGTACTATAGAGTGATATTATTACCTTCAGTGTTTTCTTGACATGTATTATCTTTGATGAGGTTTTAATGGTAAAAAAAGATATAAAACCTCTTCTCCTACCAGGCGGAAAAAAAAAAAAAAAGGGTCTAAATCCTCTTCCCTTCTACTCAGCCAAACTAAATGATGGAAGAAGACCTTCCTCTCCCTACATACCTCTTGCATCACTCCTACCATCCATTTTCCCGTCCTTACTACCAAACGAATTATAAGAATTCTTTGAGATGATTGTGGGGTGTGAGTTCTTTTGAAAGGCAATTGTGTCATTTCCAGAAAAGTATATGGAGTGTGAAGTGGGGTGTGAATATCATTTTCCTTAAGAAGACTCTTATTGTAATACTAATGTATCATAAATATCAGAGCAAAAAACAGAAATTTGGTTTAATATGATATTAAAAACTATGACAACAGCACAATGAAAAATTACAAGCATAGTACACATACCGGTTTGACTTCACCGTTCCATGCGCAATGTATACCCAAAAATCCAATAACGGCCGGTACGATATATAATAGTGCAGGCTGATAAGATATCAAAGAATATAAGTAGGCAGAATAATAGATAAAAGTAGGTACAAAATAAAGAATAGAAATGTTCTCACTCTAAATATAAGACAGAATAATAGATAAAAGTAAGTACTCTATATTTTCATCGTTTATTGGGGAAATACATAATATAGCAAATGATCATGCTATACACACCTGTGCAGCTTGAAACCAGTTCATAACAACGATTGTAAGGACCACACCGGCTGTGTATCCCAGAAAGGCACTCTTGAAATATTGGCTCTCTTTCCCTCTGGACACATCAAATCGCAATGCCAATGCTACAAAAATGCCTGAAAGGTGGAAAAAATTTATAAAACTATATAAACCCATCAAGTAAAATCCATTCAACATGACAATAATAGAAGGGTACCCTTCTGGGATACTAGAACTCGTAATAAAAGTAAATTATACAACATGTGCATATCCTCCATTAAACAAATGGTCACTGGAAGTGCTGAAATAATTCACTGGTAACATTTCTGATCTTTTAATTCAATATTTTTACTCGAAATGCAATCCCTTTTGAGTGAGCTTAAATGATATTTTACTTCTCAATAAATAATATATTTTCACTCGTTATCTCAAAGTACAAAGGAAAGTCCTTTTTATAGTTTCTCATCAAGCAAAAGGAGAAGAAGTGAGTAGACCACCGTGGTTATTTTAATTTGTACCAGTCATTACTAGCAATGGCTTTGAGACTCACAGCTGTGGCCAAGTTCAATAGTTTCCCATATATTGGTGAGAAACATAATTGCATCAGACTCATGGTTACTTTAATTTGTACCAATCTCATTGCTAGCCATGGTTTTGAGACACAATGGACTCTCAACGACTCAGCCAAGTTGAATGGACACAGTCACACAGCTGAGGCCGAATTTGACAGTTGCCAATATACTAGAAGGAAACAGAATTGCAACAGACTCAGCCAAGCCTGCTTCATGTTTTTCGAGATCACTCTCTAACATCCTCCTACCCATTCTAAACACAAGAAGATCTTGCACTACAAGTCTCCAGACATTAATGCTATATTGCCTAAATTATTGTTCCAAAGTGTTGTATTTAGTACTTATTTATTTATTTCATATTTAAAGCACTTTAAGTAGACTATATCATTATATCAATATTTTTACTCGAAATGCGCTCCATTTTGAGTGCGCTTAAATGATATTTTACTTCTCAAAAAAGAACACATTTTCACTCGTTATCTCAAAGTACCAAAGGGAAGTCCTTTTATAGTTTCTCATCAAGCAAGGAGAACAAGTGAGTAGACCACTGTGGTTATTTTAATTTGTACCAGTCATTACTAGCAATGGCTTTGAGACTCACAGCTGTGGCCAAGTTCAATAGTTTCTCATATATTAGTGAGAAACATAATTGCATCAGACTCGTGGTTATTTTAATTTGTACCAATCTCATTGCTAGCCATGGTTTTGAGACACGATTGACTCTCAATGACGCAGCCAAGGTGAATGGACACGGTCACACAGCTAAGGACGAGTTTGATAGTTGCCGATATACTAGAAGGAAACATAATTGCAACAGACTCAGCCAAGTCTGCTTCATGTTTTTCCAGATCTCTCTCTAACATCCTCCTACCCATTCTAAACACAAGAAGATCGTGCACTATAAGTCCCCAGATATTAATGCTATATTGCCTAAATTATTGTTCCAAAGCGTTGTATTTAGTACTTATTTATTTATTTCATATTAAAAGCACTTTTAAGTAGACTATATCACTAGAGGACACTTGTGTTATAGTATGCTTAAACTTCTTATTGTATCTTTTATTTAAGATGTACTCCCAAGACTCATAAATTAAAAGAAAACTCCAAATTAGCATGTTTAAACTATTACTCTCCCTCCCTCCCTCCCTCTCCAACTCCAAGAATACAATTCCAACTCAGGATTATTGCACATGCAAAGCTCCCAAGAGGCTAGAGCATGGGGGAGACAGTCCCATGCGGAGATGACGATATCAAAGCGAAAAGCGGACACAATGGGGAGGGACAATCGATGGAAAAGGATCGTGTGTCAAAGTGTGGTCCTCCTAGAACATAAAGGTGTGACCCAATTGAAATTAATTTGAAATTGCAGAGGCCACAGACATTGGATTGCTGGAATGGGAAGGATAAAACAGCACGCCAAGTTTTAGGAGTCGAAGAGGTAAGGGGACCCGAACGATGAGTCTTGAAGAAGATACAAAGGAGGCAAGAGATCAGGAGGTGACCTCGGTAGAGAGAAATTAGGGTTTTGGATGAGCGAAAATTTTTCTATGCTTTGCAGGATAATTTGAGATGAGAACGGCAAGAAAATGGAATGAATGCAAGGTTTAACGCTGAGAGATCTATTTGGTGTCCTGGAATTAAGGTACTGTTAGAGTTTGGATCTGATTTTGTGTTTCGAAAATGAAGATATAAACGAACATTCAAAAATGAAGATATAGGAGACACATTTCTCTGTCATATTTTTTTGGATAAGTGTATTTCTCTGTCAAAACTTGATAAATTGAATCAATCCATACACAAATCACCCAGTCTCTGATAATGTAAATCCACTATGTCTATGCAGACACTCTCACTTTAGAAATTGGTACAAAGAAGATGAAGGTGACATTCTTCAAACACAATAATAGGGATTTTGTGCCTACCGATCATGAGAATGAAAAGATGCAGCTCAAATATTGCAAAAATGCAAAGAAGGAGATGGTGTGGTGAACCAAACAGCAGAGATGGAGTGGTGAGGCTATCTGCTAAGGTTTGAATATAAGGCAAGCCGATGGAGTGGATAGGCAGTATAGAGGTCATCATAGAATCCCCGAGACTACTGCATTGCCCAAAGATAGATTTAAGTCAAAAGGTATAGGCTAATCTAAAGGTCTAAATTGTCAGCTCTAGTCTACGTATGGTTCTAGATCAATCTCCTTGTGGAAACTCAAGTAAAGTCTTCAAAGGTCCTAAGAAAGAGGCCCCTCTAAATATATAACAGAAGCCTTGTTGTAGTTCAGAGGTTAAAAAAAAACAGTACTCATGCTAATGTGGGGCCTAGTAAGTCATGCTGCATGCCTACCGCTATCCAACAGGAAGCCACATGCATTGGGAATGATTGATAGGAGGATCCTGCAGAAGTGCAGCATTGCAGTTATGGAGGTGTCATGTGCCAGTGCGGGCCTGCGGCACAGAGGGTTGTCAACATAGTAGGAAGGCAGGTGTCTTGGAAAGCTTCCATAGCAGTTCAGTATGTTACCATGCCATCAGAGAGACATGCCGTTTGGGTTCCAAAAGGTTGTGTGGCATCCAAGCATGGATATGCACGAGCATGTATTCATTACAAAGACAGACAACCGTCATCTATGTATTTCTACCCAAAAAATATATATATATATTTAGAGGCCATGTATGGACCGGACTCACTGACTGCAGTTGGTCTAATTAAAAGAGAGAAACGGGTTATAAGAAAAAGTTCTGCCCCATGAATTTGCAAAGTCTAATTAGCCTTTAAAACATCTCTGGTAGAATGTTCACACAGCAGCAAATCATAACTAACCTTCACAAAATCTTTACATTTAACTTGAATGTCATACCTGGAATTACAATATCTCCAAGTCCAAGCATTGAAAATGGGCGTGCAGCTTCTGCTGTTGGGAATAAAAGCTGCAGAATTGAAATATCATGTCAATTGGGGTAACACCAAACTTCAAAACATGTGATACTGAAGCAAAAAAATTATACAATCAGGCAAGGTAAATATTTCACTTGACATGACATACTGACCTTTATAGGAGCATCGAAAGATTTTGCAACACTGACCATTACGGGGGTAAAGAAGACCCAGAAAATATCATATACAAAAAGTCCAGCCTGCATTGAAGCATGAAAGGCATCAGGTAAAAAGATAACCGCCAAGTGTATGGACTAACATGGATATAAAAAGATAACCACCAACTTTTGCTTAATGAAAATAGCATATAACTTGTGAAAATCAAGCATATATTCTTTTCTACTTTTTACATACTGCTATAGAACAAAAAGGTCAAAGAGCATGTCGTTACACTACAATTCAAAAAAACGATCTTCCGCTAGAATTGCTGGTGCTAACAGTAACAGCGGTGACTGTTATTGTGCAGGGAATGTGCAGCAAACGAACAGGACAATGGTAGCATTTCAATGGCAGTGGCAGTGGGAAAATGTGCACTGTGGTGACAACAACTCGAATTACAACTCGACTTAGGTTGGATCCTTTTAAGGCCAAAATCCTATCACTGAACTGGCCTTGGCTTTTTTGGAGATTGCAACTACAATCAGATACCAGGCATTTGGTTTTGTTTGGTGTCTAGGTTAGTAGGCAATTGTTTACGAGTATGTCTAGCACTCTAGTCTTGTTTGGATTTAATCAAAATTAATTTTAAAAACCTTTATCGATTAGGACAAAGTTAAAAGGTTTTCTTTGTTCCATACGCTGTTTATAATCTAATTTTGATTTTGTCGAGTCTAAGATCAGCTACTCTATGCAAAAATGGTGCCAAAGATCAGGCCTGTCTTTAAGTCTCTTCTCTGAACACCCTACATAGGCGAGACAAGAGCTTATAAAGCAATTTTTGTAGAGTATAGAGACAATAAAACATGCTTTGATCAATAAGAATTCAAAGCATATTCTTCAAATCTTGTATACATGGGACTCCACTAATCTGATCTAGGTGAGACCACTAGAACAATTCCAAGGTTTACCTTCTTTTTCTTATTGTTATTCTTTTCATTTTAGATCCCCCTTAATTCTGTAGAATTAAAAGCAACAAATAGCCCTTAAAAGTGGTTATTCATGGTATACGGTAAAAGCCCCAACAGACAGGTGTGAGGATGCGGATTCGAGTTTGCAAGCAAATAATGGCAAATGTTAAGTTCATGTAAGAAGGACAGGCACTTGGTAATGGCCTCTTTAAGGACTAAATAGCCCTTCAGACAACCCTGATTTCATTCCAAAGATTTCATAGCATATTCTTCAAATCTCGTAGACATGGGACTCCATTAATCTGTTGTTCTAGGCGAGACGACTAGAACAATTCCAAGGTTTACCTTCTTTTTCTTATTGTTATTCTTTTCATTTTAGCTCCCCCTTTATTCTGTACAATTAAAAGCCACAATTAAAAGTGGTTATTCGTGGTACACGGTAAAAGCCCCAACTGACAAGCATGAGGATGCGGATTCAAGTTTGCAAGCAAAATTATAGCATAAATATGTGTAAGAAGGACAGGCAATAGGTAATGGCCACTTTGAGGACTAAATAGTCCTTCAAACAACCGTAATTTATTCGAAAAAAATTAATCCCTTGAACATAGAAGCCTAATCCCCAATTTTCCTTACTGCCTAAAATGCCAGGAAGCTTTATCTTTCGATTTCACAACAAAATCTGCATCAAAACCTTGATCAATCAAACCCTCATTTCATTCTGTTCCTAACCTGGCCGCTTCAATTATTAATCCTAAAACCAAAGCCAAATTTAAGAATTATTTGATCGCAGCTTAGTTCTCCAGTGTCATATTTCCCCTTACATTACCCAAAGGATATTAACATATCGTTTTAAATTCTTCTACCAACATACTCAACCTTTTGGAGCTTTAGTTAACATATTCCAGGTTTGTGATCTAACCAGGCTGGTTCAAAAATGGTAATTGTTACTTAAGCCCAAAAAAAGGGAACAAGGTGATAAAACAGAATTTAGGGCGCGGACTGACAAGTTACAAAGCTACATTTGAAATTTTAAAGTCACATTCACTCATTGTTAGACAAACAATATTGAGAATAAAAAACAGTAAAAAAACAAATCAATAGATTCTATTTCTTACCAAAAGGATGGCACCAGTCTTAAATGAGCCAAGAGAAAGCATTTCAATTCCCTGCAAATTAAAACTTTAGAAATTGAATCCAACCAATTCAAAATGCTTAATAATTTATTATTGCATGCAAGCAAGTGGATATGAATGAAACAGTTCAGAAATTACAAAGCAATTATTATTAAAAGAATGGAAATTACGAAATCTTTAAGAGTATCATAAGAAATTATGCACACATGTGCATGCGCGTTCACAAAATTAAAGACGTCTTCAATCTAAAGAACACAGACAAGAACATCAAGAAAGCAAGTCATTTTCATCAATCCATACGACAAAAATCCAAATGGCAAAGAAACTTCTGATTTGAATTGCTTCTGAGTTGGACTTGTGTCAAAAACTGATGAGACACTCTTAGAGGGCGTGTCCACTGATTTGACTTTAAATTCCAATTTGGACCTTTAACAATACTTCTCAGCCACTCATCAACCCATGAGCTATGCAGCAAAACACTTTGTTACGGGTACAGGATGAACATGCTTGAAATGTCCAGCCATTTAAAAAAAAAAAATTTAAACAAATTTGACATCAATATATACAAGCACCACAAGTCAAGCATGCTATGCAAAATTTTAATTATAATGAAAAAGAAATAGTACGACAATAGTAGTAGAATGATATATGATGCACTTGCCAAAGCAAAATTTCACACAATCAATTAAAATTACATATGCGTCCAACATGTTTACACATAAAAATACAAAATTATAAATTGTTGTTTCCTTGACATGCCAGTCCTTTTTTCGAGCTTTCATCTCTGTGTATCTGTAAGACTGTATCATGTGATGTTCGTGGCAAGGAGGTTCTTTCTAGTCATCACTTTTGGGGTGGAAATGATTGATAGACCAGATTTTGATATGATGTTTGGCAGGATACAAGCCCTAAGGAGATATTACAAAATACCATTTCATCTTAGAAATTGATAGCAAGGAATCAATTGTGGGGTATGAGTTCTTAACTGAGTAAAGAGTGGTTAGGAAGGTTCCACACAGTTTCCGAGATTGGAAGTTGGGAGGCAGTGGACTCATTGCTTGATCTGTTACATGGGGTAACTGTTTAAGGGGAAACTGGGGAGCTGAGAAGTTGATCAGGTGGAAAGATAATCATAGTGAGAGGTTCCATCAAATCTTATTTGAAAGGTTCTCATGGGTTGGTGGCTCAGCTTTCGCTTAAAAGGCTATTTAGCGCAGCTCCCTTAAGGTGGCTCGCTTTGTGGATGGCGCCTAAGGCAGTCCTCTTAACCATTGTCAATATGAGGAGAAAGCAAATGTTACGAATTGGTGCTCCATGTGAAAAATGGTGGGAGAAAGTGTTGATCATCTTTTTCTTCATTGTAAAAGTTAGCTAAAGAGTTTAGGTGCCTTCTTTTTCTGATTGTTTAAAGTGACTTTACATACCACAATTGGTGGGGAACTTTTGGCTCGATGGAGGTGGACAGCATTGTTGGAGTGTTGGGAAGAATTTGAAATTTTGCTGTCATGCTTGTGCCTCATAAGGCATATTTAGAGGAAGAAGAACAGGAGACCCTTTGAAGGGATGGACCTTCCATCCTTCCCTCCTCAAAGAGGAAATTTTTTGATCTCTTCAACTCTTTGCCTCTTGATTTTGAAGGCCTTTACGCACCACCCATGTACGTGGATTGCACCCCATTCTACTGCGTTCTTTAATGAAGTTAAACTTATTGGGCAAGAGAGATAAAGGACAGCAGTGATAGCATCCAAAGAACACAAAAACTGAATCAGGCTCAATGAATTCACAGCCAAGGTGAAATCCAAATCACAAAAAATAATGATGATAATAATATGCAACTGGGGTGAACTCCAAATCACAAAAAATCTTTAGGTAGCTTCTCCACTATTGTAACATTTTTTTTTTTTTTTTTTTTTTGAGAAGTTCTCCACTATTGTATCTTGTAACACATAATTTCATTTCTTTACTTCTGAAAGATTGGATTAAAATTTTTATGAAATAAGCAATTTTTTATATCAATTTCAGCAATTACTCAGCTGGCATAAATTGTCAGCATAATAAACTGACCTCAACAAGCAAGTTCTCATACTCAAAGGTTGATAAAACAAATCTCAACGAGAGTGTTAGTTCCAAGCCCTATAATCATTTGGGTTTTTCAAAAAATAATAAATAAATTTAACCAAAAAAACTGGTACAAATACCAATGACAGATCAGCAGCTTATAGATCGCAAGGAAATGACTATTCATAAGTCTCTAAGTTTTTACATTAATATCATCCCTTAAGTATAACAATTCTGAGCTCCTATCTAAATGATGAACTAGAAAAAGACTGACTTGTGCAGCAACACAAGTTTCTTGCCAGTAATTGATTAAGCGGCCCGCGACAGAACTTATTAAACAATGACTATCAGTTGTGCTCTTAGTGATCCCTACATAAATCATACTATATGCTCTTTTTGGTTTTCATAATGTCCCATTCAATCTTCCTATGACATTCAATACCCCAAACAGGGGAAAATATATCGAAAACTTAAAATACTTGCAATAGCTGATTGAGATCCAATAAAGCTCATTGGATGTACTTGCAGGTACACATGTCTAAAACTATACAAAATTATGACAAGATATAAATACACTTGTCACCGGCAGAAATCAGAAACATAAGACATGATCACTATCATGAAATGCTTAGAGAATGCCAAGTCAACATCATATCGATAATTAGTAGAGAAACTAAGCTGGACCGAAATATATATGCTGACAAATAAAGAGCTCTAGTCTTATCAGGTCAAAATTTTACATTATAACTTGTGGATTGACATAGTCTCCCAAAAAATCAGAGGAAAAAACAATAGAGCAAATGGGAATCTCAAACTAAAAAGAAGAAAAAAGATAACAGGATGTTAGAAAATAATCAACAGCACATTATATAATACATATTACTATAAAGACGATGCTGTCCAACCTGGATGCTGAATGCGAGGCCCAAAATATTGTTAGCTAGCCAATGTTTCTTCAAAGCATACCATGCACAAAAAAAGGATCCAGGGATTGCTGCAACGATCTGAGACCTTGTGAAATCAACCTCCAAAGCTGTGTAAGAAATGTGTAAAGAAAAACATCATTCTGCATATTACAAGCAAGACAATGTCAACCAGATCAAATGAAAACTGAGAAGCAGAAAAAACAAACACATTGCATTCTATATTAGAATGTTCACAAACAAAATTTAGAAGAAGAACAAACATTACTGGGCTTGACCAACATTTATCTGTCAAAACACCAGAAGCATACAATGGAATCAGAACCAAGGCATATGCCGGCAGAGAACTGCATTTATTTGGAAAAACATAAACCACTTATGCCATGTTTCCCGATATTATGTGTGGGATCCGATTGTTGAGCGGTTTGAGAGGAGGCTTGCAGGTTGGAAGAAGCAATACTTGTCCAAAGGGGGGAGGGTTACTCTTATGAAAAGCACTCTCTCAAATCTCCTGACCTACTTTATGTCGCTCTTTCCAGTGCCTAAGACAGTTGTTCGAAGACTTGATGATATTCAGAGGAAGTTTCTGTCGGGCGGTTTAGGAGATGAGTTCAAGTACCAATTGGTTAACTGGGAGAGGGTGTGTTCCCCTATTAATAAGGGGGGTTTGGGTATTTGAAGGCTGGATGTGTTTAATAAGGCATTGTTGGGCAAGTGGTTGTGGAGGTTCAAGGGAGAGAGGTCCAAGCTTTGGAGGCGTGTTATAGCTTGTCATTACGGGGAGTGTGATGGAGGGTCTAGGGAGGGTGGAACCCCAGCTGGTATGGGCTCTTGGAAACTAATCCGTAGAGGTTGGGATGAATTCTCCATACGTATTCGGTTCAAGGTTGGAAGCGGGAGTAATGTCAGGTTTTGGGAAGATAGATGGTGTGGGGATTCGGCTTTAGCTAGTAGATTATCTCGTATTTACCGGATTGCTAGAGATGCTGTGGTTGCTGACTCGATAATGGGAGGGTGACTTGGGATGTGCAGTTCCGTAGACAGTTTCATGATAGGGAACTTCTGGAGGTTACAGACTCCCTAGCCTTCATTTATAGACAGGTGGTACCGTGGTTCGGGGTGGACATGGACGAGATGCTGTGGGTGGGTACCCTGAAAGGGATGTTCGAGGTTAAGTCTTTCTACAATAGTATGTTGGAGCGTCCTAGCCCTGTGTTTCCTTGGAAAGCCATTTGGAGGACGAAAGCTCCACTGAAGGTGGCATTCTTCTCGTGGACTATTGCTTTGGGAAGCATCCTTACTATTGATAACCATAGAAAAGGAAGTCATGATGTGGTTAACGAGTGTTATATGTGCAAGAAGATGGGGGAATCTGTCAACCATCTCCTTATTCATTGCTCAGTGTCTAGGGATGTTTGGCCTGTGTTTTTGTTTGTGTTTGGTCTTCCATGGGTGTTCTCAAAATCCACGGTCGACTTGTTAGAGACTCTGAAAGGGTGTAGAGTGGAGAGCCGAGTCAGAAATGCTTGCAGGGTCATTCCCTTTTGTATTTGGTGGGGTATGTGGCGCCAAAGAAATAGAAGATACTTTGAAGGAGAGGAGTCTCCCATTTGGGCTATTAAATACAATATTCTTACTTCTTTATTCTTTTGGGTAAATGGGCGGGATTGTAATTCAAAGGATTGTCTTTTGGATTTTGTGGATAGCTTAAAGCTATATTGTCAATTTTGGTCGGCTGTTGTCTTCTTTGGGAGCACTCTCCTTTTGAGCGCCTTTTATAAAAATCTTACTTGTCAAAACTAAATTAAAAAATCTCAACAGAAACAGCAGCACATGCAGCTTTGCAGTACCCAAGCTGGGGGTTGTACATATTGACCAAGGACATCGATAAAACCATTGTTAGTAAAATCAAACCAGCGCTCTCCTTCCAGTTCAGCTATTCTAATCAGCATAAAAACCAGTGTATAACAGCAAGAAATTGTTTTGAAAATTAATTTTCTTAATAAGTACAATATGTTTGACAAAATGAACCATCAATTTTTTTATTTTTTATTTTTTCTGTTCAATGAGGGTGGTACCAGGTCTCGTAAAGCACCCCATAATCCAAAACCGGGCACATGCTGGCAATTCCGGGAGTTCAGATCTAACAATGAGTTGAATTTGAATAACAATTAGACAGAGGAAAATAGAGGGGAGAAAAGAAAGTGACAACTTTCAAAGAAATGGATAACATATGGGGTGAATCAAATGCATTGAAAATGTTAGTCATCATTGCACAATGGCAACATCTACCTAAGTATCATATATCAAATATTATTGTATCAAAGTGGTAGTACAGACAATGAACCAGGAGGTAAGTTCAGTTTTCTCATCATTGTCATCCTCCAAAACAAAAGCATTAGCATAGTTGATAGATGAGATGGCTATGTGTTGTGTCACTTGTGTGTGCGTGTGCACGCGTGCACGGGCACTCATATTTGATAACAAATGGCATATTCACAGACAGAAGCCACAATATAACGGTGCAACCCATGTTTGCACAAGTTTCAATCCTTTGCAAACTGTTCTAAGTCTTAAATAGAGGGATATTTTCGTCTTTCAAAATCCGCTTTTTATGTGCTGCAATTAAGTGATTCACAGATCAGAGTACCGTCTCTACAAGAAAATGTGTCTTGCCACGGCCATACCTTCCATATCCATTTAGACAAATGTACATGTTGAGAAGGAGTTGAACTATAATTAAGCCCTGGCCAATAATTATACCTCTCAACTAGACCTATAAACGAATAGGAATTCGAATCAAATCAAGTTTGATCCAATCCTAATCTCAATAAGATTATTTCTTGAGCCAATCCAACCCGACAATCTGACAGATCATCCATGAATAAAAACAAATCAAATTTGTTATTAATTGGAGATCCGATCCGATAACTCGTCTATAAGAGTGTAATTTTTTGTTTAAAAAAATGAAATGTCAAAATAGTTCCTGAAACCATGATTAGAAAGGAAAAAAAATTAAACACAGAGAGAAGACGAAAAAGAGAAGAAAGATTTTTAACTTTTGCTTAAAGAAAAAACAGTAAAGAGTGAAAAACAAAATAGAGAGAGAAGAAGAGAAAATAATCATAAAAGACTTTTGATAGTTTGTAAATATTATATATTATAGCATTAGATAATATGTGTGTAGCATAGATAATAATATATTGTGTGAGATCGAATTATTATTGGATTGGATTAACCATAATTCATATCCGGTTTGTAAGCTAACATACTATTAGATTTGGACTGTCAACAACTAGGAAGCACAAACACTCCACCAGGGGTTGTCATGGCGGTATCAGACGCGTGTTAATGTAGCTTAATGAAAAAGAAAAAAAAAAAAAAAAAAAAACTAATTTATATATATTATATTATTGTTTTATTGATGTATCCCAACCATATCCACGTGTCCTTTTTCTGGGATTTGACGTGTCGTATCCATCTTGTGTCAGACCCGTGTTCTGTGGTTGTATCTGTGCTTCATAGGTTATTGGATTATCGAATTAAATTTTCAATCCATATTCAAGTAATCGGATCTGATTTAGATCAAAATCTGATTCATTAACAGACCTCCTAACCTTGACACAAGAAATAATCATAAGCCACTATCACAACCCCAATGTGCAATAATACTGCAGCAGTATTGCCAAACGAATAGGCAATCAATTCATGAAAAGTGAGGAAAACACAAGAAAAACAAAACTCGGTTACGAAGTATTGGCATCCTGTATGGCCAACAGAGAAACAATGTGCAAAATATTAAGTACAATGAAAAACAAAACTCAAAAGTAACAGGAAAAGCAAACACAATAAGCATTTGTAAAGGAAAGGATAACAAGGAGAATACATACAACGAAAATATGGAAACCGCCAGACTATAACGTCTTCATTCCAATGCGTTGGCAGAAACCGTTTGATTGCAGGCAATAACGTTGCCCTAAAAGAAGCGAAGGAAAGAAGTGAGATAATTAAATACAGAAAAGAATTAGTTTTCAATAGCTTGCAACAAACATCAAGTATAGTAGAATGATCCATACGGAAAAAAACATACGAAAGAGCGACGATTCCAAGTACAATGAAGTAGCACGTCAGTACAGTATTAACCAAGTCTTTTGATAGAAACTTAAAGAGCAAGAACAAAGACAACAGCATTGCACTCCCCACCAAGGGAAAGCGCATGGCATGTTCTTTAGACATTGTCTCCTGCAAAATAAAACACGTTCACAATTTAAAATAGTTAGCCTAAATTCAAAGAAAGCAAAATACATAAACAGAAACAAGGAGACAACACAGGTGCTGTTGCACTTACTGATGGTGGAGTTGGCTTGACCGAACGGTAGCAACCAACGTAAACCGTAAGGCAAGCAGTCAAAATGACATTTAAATTTGGATCTACCTTCACAATCAGTGGTGCAAAAGTCATACCTGCATGCAACAATAACATGCATTAATCACGGAGGCAATTGCTCTAGAAACCTAGAACAACCAATGTGCTGCCACATAAATCATGGGCCTATACTATATTGAATAGATATCCCACATATATAAAGTATTTTAATAATAAGGGTTAAATTGAAATTCAAACATAAAAGTAGGAGCTTAAGAATTACAATTTTTCCCTTTCTATTGTTGCCCTAGAATGGGAAAATTTATCATCACAAAGAAAGGTGATGATTGAACAAACAACTCAAAGCATCAGAATCAAGAAGCGTGCTGCAGTACCAGATTTTCTGAAGCACTTACCAATCATCTCCTGTTTTAAATAATTCACAGCTAGTTTAAGGGGATGAAGTGCCAGAGACGAAGAGGGTAATTTTTTTATTTTTTTAAAAAAGCGAGAGAATCTAACAAGACCAACGAATAACTAACACCCTCCCTGCCAGAGATATGATACAACAGAATTGTCTATGAGAACCCTTATGCTTCGTTTGGTTGGAGGGATGGAAAAATGGATGGAAGAGATAGAGGGATGGATGGATGAGGAATCCCTAGGGAACGGAAGGTGTCTCCTCCATTTTTTGTTTGGTTGAATGGAATGGATAGTAGAAAGGATGGATGGAGTGATACTTTTTTGTTTGGTTGGAAGGAAGGGAAAGAGACTTTTTATATTTTTTTACCAATATATCCTCACTGTATAAAATAATAAAAAGTAGATATCCATTTGAATTTTTTTGAAAAGGTTAAAATTGGAAATTGCATATTGTTGGTTGTTATTCATTTTCTCTCTACTCCCTTCCCCCCAAAATTGGGCGGCGGATAGAAAAACATGAAGAAAGGAGGGATGAAGCATCCCTCCTTGCTTCCTCCCTCTCTTCCCTTCCCTCCAACCAAACAAGAAAAGCCTCACCCATCCCTCCTCTCATCCATCCCTCCTCAATCCATCCCTCCAACCAAACATAGCATTAGAGACAAACACTGACTTCACCCTGCCTTATACCAGAATAATATTTAAAGAAATAACTAATGTATTCTGAGGTTCTTTCCAGGTGACCTAAATGTCACAAACAAACGTGATATCAAGAAAAACCTAAAATTTGAATTAACGACCACAAGTGACCTAAACGTGAAAAAATCTGCTAAATATTCAGGAAACCCTGAATACACTGACCAATTACATGAAGCAGATTAAAACCTCCAAGCAAACAAGTGAAAGACAAAAGGAACGGAAAATTGGTCCTATGATCTGAAATTTGGAAGATCCCGGTATGCAAAGTGCATCTGTACCAAGTCCATCCATTGGATTTTACATACGAAAAAAAAAAAATCACCCAACCAAAAGAACACACCTCCAGAAGCAAGCAGAATCTGAATGGAGGAAAGGAAAATCCTGACAAGAAGTAGTTTTTAAGATCCCACCAATATTTTAGGAGTAGAAAAGAAACGTTAGCAGGCCTTACCATTCAACTAGAACCTTCATCTCTTCCCATTCTAATGTTAACACCACAAGACCTTCTATATCCATCCATTCAATCATTAGTCTCCACCGAACAAAGGAAAATCGAAAGGAAAATTAAAAAAACAAATACTCCATCTCCTGATATCACTTAGTATCTTCAGAGAGAGTCCAACAGTGCAGGATTTGAGATGCAAACTCAATCACTTAGCAAAGCTCTTTTCCATCAACAAGAACAAACAAGGGTATATCTCGCAGTAGGCCCCGTCTCCACACCACCAGTCTTCCTAGTATCTCACATCGTCCCAGTTACAGTATCAAAGCTCAAATTGTAGTGATATAGTCAGTCATCACTTGTTACAGAAAAGCAATCAATGCGACAATCTAAGCCAAAGAAATCCTAAATTTGGATACAAGTCTCATGGGATCACTAATCCTCTTTATTAATGTCAAAATTCTAAAAGGTGTACTCCTTTTTTTCCTAAAAGACTTAATTGGTCCATAAGTCATTCTCTTGGTAAGTTCCCTCTTAAAGTCACCTCCTCAAGTAGTTTCTTCCTTCTAGTTGGGTACTTTTTAAAGAAGTAACCTACATTTTTTTTTTGATAAATCTTAAAGAAGTAACATACTTAACTTTTCCTCAGCTATTTCCATCTTAAATAACCTCCTTAGTTAGAGAATATATAGGTACACATGGAAAATAATGAACAAATATGAAAACATATTGCTCATTGGAATTAGTCGTCATGCAAGTCCATGAAAGCACCAAGGTAATCCCCTCTCTCTTCTTTCCTCTACTTTTCATATTTCTTCCTTCAAGTGCTTCCTCTCCTTCATTTTTACCTCTATCTCCCAAGAGGACTTCTCCTTCGTTCTCTTTTTGTCAGATCTTCTCTCAATATATTTTTCGCATCATATCCAAACTATGTTACAAGGACTCAATATATCCATCAGGTGTTAATATGTATCTAAGTGGGCACCTTCCTAAATCCCAAATCTTATAATCTGGGGATTTAACTTGAAATGTGTGCAAAACTTGGACTCCAGTACATGGATGTGTCTTTCACATAAAAACATAATATGCTACATAGAAGTGGAAGAACTTATGATACTATAACTCTTTTAAAATAGACTCAATGATAATTTAAACTAAATAAAATATGAAGAAAAGGGAATTTCATCTATCTCGGAAATAGGAAACCTTTCTTTACTATCAAAATTTGAGATTTTCTTCTTCTTCCATCATCACAATTAGAATATAAAGAATATCATATGAATTTTTACTTATCAAAAGATAAAATAAAATATTAAGAGTATAAAGGAGTCCAACTGGGACATGTGCGTCGAACACATATCACATACCTGGACCCATGTTGTGTAATGTGGACCTGGGTACATTAGGAAGAACAAAAGAGTCCATGTAACACAACCTCCAAACACATCCAGTATTCTCGAGGTTTTAAGACTCAGTAGTCAGTAGTATCAAAAAGTCACCCAGCTTCTGCAAGGCTCCTCCACGAATACTCAGCCAATTGAGAGAGACAGAGACTTCCAACCACAGCTTCAAAAAAATCCTCACATATATTTTATACTGTGGTTTCTTTAATATTAACTAAACCACCCAAAACATTGCCTCTAGACAATTTCCAAACAAAGCCCTATATTATAATAATTCAGCAGGACCCCAACACCTTAGGAGGTAGACTTCCCTAGAGTGAACTTAAAGAGTACAAAAGTTGATTTCCAAATTCCTAAAAATGGTTGAGAAAATTGGAAAGTTTACAATCAAAACAGGCCTAAAAATGGATCTTGATTTTGCAGTATTGATATATGAATGAATCAACTTGCTGTATTCAATATTTTTTAGATTCATTTTGTTCGTTTTCTGGATAGTCTGAGAATGGGCAGTTCGAGTTTTGCTTGCCTACATATATCCAGCCTAGTTTTGTACAAAATGGGGGATAATAAGGAATATTCTGAAACGTGTGACCTATAATTAAGACTGAGAAAAGACACAAAAATGCAAACTTATTGGGTAAAAAAAAAAAAAAACACACAAATTGGTTTGACTATTAAAAAATCAGCAAAATGATAATTTATTCTGAAATGTGTGACCTATAATTAAGACTGAGAAAAGACACAAAAATGCAAACTTATTGGGAGGCAAAAAAAAGAAAAAAGAAACGTGGTTTGATTATTAAAAAATCAGTAAAATGATAATTTAAAAACCAGAAAGAAAAAGAAGTCATTTTTAGCACTCAATCTCAAATTCATGATGAACGGAAGATACTCTACTCATGACAACTTTGCTCTGACACAGTTATCATACAAATGTACGTCATGTATATATTAACCTCAAAAGTGTAGCAGAGGAATCAATTCTAAAACAAAATTAACAATTCTACAGATCCAACTATTGCTTCACCAGAAACCATGCATCACTGTGCAATTACAGATCAAATTACTAAGAATTATCAAATGGGCAATGAAAACAAACCTGCCAGAGCAATATTCGCAAGACGCTCAATATTCTTCATTTTTAACAAACACAATTCAGCGCCTTCTTTGGTAAAAAAATGTAACCGCTGGATGATTCGGTCGTTGATGCAGCCCTAAAGCGACAATCTGATATCAATACAGAAACCAAAACAATTTCAAGATTTTGAGTGAATTACAAATAACATAATTATATATATATATAAACTATCCTTTCAGGGAATCCCAATTTCAAGATCAAATGAATCAAAAACCCTAATTGCTAACGGCGGTTTTCTTTAAAAAAGAATAAAGAAAAAGAAAGACGATCACATGAAAATTACAATTCCAGTTCCAACAGAAAGAGAGTGAGAAGTTTGAGGGTGTTGGGGGTACCTGGGGAGGAGAGAGAAACAGATTGTGTGACTTTCTCTCTCTACTGGTCCTAGGGCACGCAGATCGGAGATGCAGCGGAGCGAGAGAGAGAGAGAGAGAGATTAATGGGTCCGTTTCGCACAGAAAGAGAGAGAGAGAGAGAGATGTGGGTGGGTAAATGAGACGGTTAGCGAACCGGATGAGGTCGGAGGTCCATAAAGTTGTGAGTCGGGTGATTTGGCTTTTCTCTAGTGGAGCCACGACTCGTGGAGTCATACAATCCAATAGGGACTCGCCATGTCAGCATATTTCGAATATATTGACACACACCTAAAACACGTTGGATCGTCTTAGATAATCAATAAACAAAATTTTTATTAAAATTAAAATACTCCAAAAAAGGAAAACTACCTCTGTGAAGTGAAGACACATTTTAAGCTTTAATTTTTTTAGTGAACAAAAAAAAAAAAAAGTCAAGATTTTAGTTTGGTTCAGTTTAGAGGTTCAAATTAACATTTACTCAAACCAAATTATGTAACAACAGTTTGAATCGATTGGTTTTATAGATTGATTTTATTTAAAATTATAATACAATAATAATTATACTTAATTGAGCCTATTCAATTATAACAGTTTGAATCCATTTATAGATTGATTTTATTTAAAATCATAATCCAATAATAACCACACACTTAATTGGGCCTATTCAACCCAAGATTTAATTCGCATAAATTTTCCAGCACGAACCATTTGGAAGCATTTTTAGTTCTAAAAAAACAATAATGTAATACTTAACAAGAACAAGAATATTATTTTATTAATATTTTTTTTTTTTCTAGTTGGGTACTCACACACACACATACTTCCACGGAGACTCAAACTCTTAACCTCTATTTGAGAAGTACGAGCTTAGTATCGCTAGGGCACTGTCCTATTGGTATTTTATTAATATTTTTATGTGAGGTAATACAGAAAGAGTGCTAAATTCCCCCCCCGGGGCAGCGGGCCCCTTTTCAAATTGCAAGACTGTTACCGACACAGATCCTTTCCATAAGCCATCTTTCCCACTTTCTTCAAACTAAATCTAAAGGTTAATATTAAGTCACGTCATAAGAGAGTTGACTTACCTATACTATACCTTTTTGGAACCAAATCGACATTACCGTTTCTCTCTCCTCCTCCTTTGACTTTCTCTCTCAACACCGATGCTACCTCCCTCTTTCGATCCCAAACTATCATACCCTAATTTCCCTCGCCAAAATCCGCCACCGGATTCTTTTTTGTGTTTCTTCGCTGATGTTCTACCCAGCCGTACAATACGTTAATGTCATGAACTGGGTTCACAAAAATTAGGCAAGGTGTAGAAAAAGAAAACAACAGCGAGGACGACGACTCAGTCAGAGACGACGACTACCGTTCGGTCTCGGCCTCTTGTTTTTAGGTTTCATCGGAAATGGGTGAAGGAAAGCATGGCGAAGGTAATCTGGATACAACCAGTTTAGTCATTGGTTTAGACCGGGTTTCTGCAAAATTATAGGTTTTCTCCTGAAAACTTCTGACAATACACAAAAGAACCCCGCATTTTTTGCTAAAACCTTATTTTAGCTAATCAAACTCAAAGAAAATGACATTTTTTCACCATCAAATCAGCTTACAAACCCTTATCTTCAAGAAGACAATTAAAAAATGAAAAAAGTGTTATATATATATATATATATGTGAAAGCTTCGAACGCTATTTCTGCCTTAAGAGGTTCCTTGCTCAAAAATTTTAGTCTCATATAGTTGTCAAATGAGTCAAAAGACTCTCTGTTAGGTCACACCTGGCAAAAAGAAGCTATCTCATTCATTCCCCGACAACCGCCGGAGTTAAGCTCCTCGAGACTTCGATCGTTCAACTGACGATCTCACTTTTAGAAAGATAGACATGAGAAGTTCTTCTTCTCTTGAATTCTTTCTTGTTATTATCAATTATTCGGAACTGATGGTGGAACATTACTAGAATAAAAACAAGCACAGTTGGGTCAAAGTAGCACCGAAGAACTGTTATTATAGAAAGCTCCGATGGCTCGCATTGTGAGTCAAATTCGCCGGTCGAAAGGTTAATTATCTGTTTTTCTCCACCTTTCATCGATACTCAAGCTTTATTCGATCGATTTGTGCACCTGGGAGTTTCGATTGCGTGGTAACAGGGATTCACCCAGACACAGAGGGAGCAGGAACCTAGGATTTTCGATTGAGGGGGCACAGACCTTAACTCACATACATCTGAGAATTTCAACAAACCTAGGAACAAAAGAAGAATAGGGGAGGATTACTAAGGAAGATGAAGGTGGAATAGATCAATGGTTGCTTAGAATGAGAATAAAACAACCGAGAACGATACAGGGTTGAGTTGTTTGGGAAGAAAAACAAAAAACACTACACCAATAACAATAGGGAACTAAAGAAAACAATGCTACACAACTAGGATTCCTGTCTTGACAAAAAGAAAACATTACAATATAAAATTAAGAAACTGACATGGGTGGACATAGAATATAAGATGATGGGCGAAGGCATAAAAGGCTTCTTGTCTTGACAAGAAAGAAACTTTACAGTAGAACATTAAGAAACTGACATGGGTGGACAGAGGACATGAAATGATGGGCGAAGGCACAGACGGACTAGAGTTGGATATTGAATGAAAGGGTATTCCCTGCCTTAATATAATATCTCTGCAGAAGTCATTGTCAGAGAGGTATAGCAATTAGGTCAATAGTCCCATTGAATGGTTGTTGTGGGAATCCACAATGCCGAAGAAGAAAGAGAAACGGTGTTGTTATTGAAAAAGTTAACGTCGTTTGGTCCTAAAAAGGTGTAGTGTAGGTTAGTGAATCCTCATGATGTGTCTTAATATTAACCCTTAGATTTAGTTTGGAGAAAGCAGGAGAAAGATGGCTCATGGAGAGGATTCGTGTCCGACTATTAAACTAGTTCAATGTGCACTATTTAACAAAATGACCATATTGCCCTAAGGCACCCCAAGGGTCTCAAATGACCATTAAAATGATTGTTTTGTCCCTATGCATTTTAAGGGGTCAGATAATCTCATCTTTTCAAACTAAGGTCAAAATGGGGACACAAATAAAAGTTAATAAGACATGTGGTCATCGAAGTTGCAACTGATAGTACAAGGAACATGTGTTCACCCTGTAGTTGTGTTTGCACTCAAAATAATATTTGGATGTGCCTCCTAAACAATCGGCAAGAAACTAAACCTAAAGAATGTCTCAGCCAATCTTGGGTGATCATGGCCGATTCACAGTGGTTCCATGTCCTATCACAACTCCCAATATGAAAGCCTCAACCAAATAAGCTGAGGATGGCACTCTTCAATTCACACAATAAGAACGTGAGACAACATAAAATGGTTTGTTCGGCCTCTACCATGCTCAGGTCAGATGCATAACTTTTGGTTGTGTCCAAAATTATTTCGGTTTCAAATATTCAGAGTGATATAACCTTCGGGTTACACCACATCCGCACTTTAATTTTCAAGCAAGCCGATGAAACGCATGTCACCACACACAGCATGCGCCATTAGAATAAACATATACCTAATACGTTAACAAGTTCATCCTTGTTTAGACGCCCTCAGAATCCGGGAGAGTTTACATAATGGTAATGCAATTCCTAAGTGCCAGCCACGCAGTCTACTCAGTTAAACGTCACCCAAGAAATGCAGTCAAGTAATAAAGTCGGTCCACTGCTTAGGTCATTCGTTCAGCCAACGTGTTTCCTGAGAGCTACATTGCACTATCAGATGAAAAAGTTGTATGCCAAACAAAGACTTTAATGATACTGCTTTCTTCAGCCAAAGACAAACCAAGTGTCAATTCCCCATGGAACCAAAGGAAACCCACTTGGCTAAGTAAAAAAGGACATCCACGTGGCACGCTCAACGCCAAGTATTTGTAAAAGACTTTATGCTCTAAGTCTTGCAAAGTCTGGTCGAATCCTCTATATATATCAAGGTTCCTCCAACAGTAAGCCTCCTCTTTAAACATATCATATTTCTCAACAGATCAAAAGACACCTCTCATAGTCTCAATTCAAGCTATTATAGCTTTCTTTATCTTAAATTAATTGTATTTTAAATGTTTCCCTAAAGCTATCAAGTCCATAGTTTTTTAACCCTTTAATTCCAATGCCATTTACTTTAATCCATTTACGTTTGTTGCACTTACTTTCAGCATTTAAATTATAAGTCTTTTAATGCTTTCTTTTATTTAGACATTTACTTTCCATGCACCGTTTTTAATTTTTCGAGTAGTAGTATCTAAATGGATCACTGGAATTCACCTTCCAAGGGTTCCAACCAACCAATAAATCTCTAAATAGCAGGAGGGTTATTTATCCGCCAAAAAGGGTGAACGCGTCCAAACCCTGTGCCCGATAAAACAGGTACGACATTCGGCCAGAAAGGCCGAGCCAGGAGCAGAGTAAAAGGCTGAGTAGTGAATGGTCTGCTACCAAACATGAGTCTACTCCATATCCTACTCTTCTGTTCTAAAATGGGTATTCTTTGGGATACTCATACGAACCCACCTTCACGGCTAGACCGTTCCCCCTTCGTGTGGGAATATAGCTCAGCCTAACTCATGGCCAGATACCCCGCGTCAACTGGACCACCACTTATATTGGTATGATTATGAGACTCAGTCAAATGAATGGCCACAATGCTCGTACTCACGATCACACATGTGTAAGTCTCGTAAGCCAAAGTCTGGGTGACAACCCTTATTCCCACACTCTCCAACGCAATTATTCTAATATAACCTACCACGCGGCGTGATAAATACCCGACAACACCAAGGAAGCATCCCGAATAGATGGGGGGGACCACTATTGCCCCCTCACAATCACCTGCGCGAAATCCTTTGGGCACACTCAGGCCGACGTTGACCGCGGCGGAGGCCGAACCAAAGGTACCTGATATTTATGAACTCAGCACCTTAAGTTCAAGTGAGACACATGAACTCTGGCACGCCCGCACCACGAACTCCCCTACCGGGCGGCTGAATGCTAAAATATCGTAAACAATATGGCAAAAACATTAACATTGTTCCTTTCCATCAGAAATTTTGAATTGATAGATAGTTGCACATTTATAGCTGGCCATGTCCGCCCAATTACAT